CACCATCTGATCAAACGAGGCTCCATATAAAAATGTACATCCTGCTTATGCAAAATTCTAGAGCAGGCAAAACCAAGGAGGGAAGACAACGGAGCAGTAGCTGCTTCCTTGGCTAATCCAGGCAGGCACCGATTAGAAAAGTGGAAGGTGCTATTTTAGCTCCTCGTGGAGACAGGGTCACACAGGTGTTTGCACTGGTCAAAAATCACTGAGCAATAAATTTAAGATCCATGTAGCCCTTCGCACGTAAATTTTTGCGCGAGCGCGCACTCACTCACACTCACACACACAAAGAGGAACAAATAAGAACTGAACTCCATAACGTGTGCCAGACTGCTTAGGAGTAAAGCGTGCTGACTCTCAGCCACACGATTTGGAATGTCTAATGACCCCTAAGTTGTTTTCATTACTCTACCTGCAGCTGGTATTGGTTAGGAGAGTAAGCGCGGAAGTGACTCAGACTAGGGTTCAAACCCACTCTTGCTAGCTATGGGCTAGCAATTTGCCCCAGGACAGTGTGGCAGAACTGTCAAACCCCACGCCCGCCCCAAATCCCCTCAGTACCCTCGCCCTCACCCCAACACCCGTCCACGCACAGAAACCCAATCCTCGAGCCCCAAACGCCACAGCCAAGGACCCTCACCACCAGCAGGTTCCTGTCCTCCACCAGCTGCCGCTTCCGCAGAATCTCCGACTTCAGGATGTCCATCTCGCTGCCAGTGTCTAAGCTCCACCTTGCCGCTCCAGCTCCTCGGCGGTAACCTCACCCCGCCAGGGGGGACGAACCGCCGCACTACCGGAGCCCAAATAGCAGAGAACAACAACTGCCGGGGCCGCTTCCGGCGGAAGTCCAGATGAACGAGAGGACGGGAGGGAGCGGCCCCACCTCCCACCCCCGCTAACGCCGGTGAAGACGCTGAGTATTGTTGCCCCCTAGCGGCGCCCTCCGGTTACTCACCTGTGATTTTGGTAGACAGGTAGAGAAGAGAACAAAAGCCAGGCGTCCATGTCGGTTTGTCTCCTTTTTAATGGTTATTGTGCCCGGTTGAACCTGCTTGTTTGCTCCTGAAGCCTCCTTGTAGGGCATCTCAATTGTGTTGAGGCGAGATCTTCACTAGATGTTTGCTTCGTACTTTCTCAAGTTACTGGCTTGCCAAGAGAGTAAACACACTAGAGAATGAGAAAAACATGAAAAATACTAGTTTCAAAATGGCAGTATTCATTAATGTACTTGTCTGTTCAAAGTCTGTAAATATGACATAATGAATTGTCTGTTCAATGTCCTGTAAATTTATGCTGCTTCCTGGTTATGTATTCAGCAATCAAGATTTTCGATAGTGTATTGGAGAAATAACCATTCTTTCTTAAAATCCAGTCCGAGAAAAAGTATGCTGAAATTGTTTTAATTTTGATTGTGATGCAGGGACTCACTATATTGCCTGGGCTGGTCTCAAACTCCTGATATCAAAGGAATCCTGCGGCCCCAACTTCAGAGTGCACCACCATACTTGGTAGATTTTTTTTTTTTTAATTCTAGAACCATTTATAATGTATTTATTTCTGGCTCCATGCCACCAAAGCATTTTTATTATTAGTTGTCATAATTCAATAATACTTTGTTACTTTTTCCTATTCTAAAAGGAAAGAAATACGATTTAAACTTGACTATGGGTGAGATGGTTTGTCAAAATAAAAAACTGAAAGGATGCTCATTTTCAATTTAGAAGTTTTATAGTGTGTGTGTGTGTGTGTGTGTGTGTGTTAATGGGGTTATATTTCACCTAAAAGAGAGCCAGAAAGATGACTGAGCAGCTAAAGGCACTTGCTGCCAAACCTGATGACCCAAGTTCAATCCCTGGAACCTACATGGAGGAAGAAAAGAGCCGACTCCCAAAGTTGTCCTCTGACCACATCCATGTATATGCACACAGGTGCACATGCGTGCAAATGCACAATAAATGGATAAATGTGATAATTTTTTAAAAGGTAAAAGATGCCTGACCTCTGCCAGAAATAAGCCAGCATAGGAAGATGATTCATACTCTGATCTAAAATGCCTTGTTGATTTTTAGAGTTTTTAAAAACTCAAGGTACTTCACAAAATAAATATCCTTGGATTAAACATGCTAACATTCTTGTATGAATATTTGTTGCCATGGGTCAAACCATTTATCAGCATCCTTCTGATTTAGGAACTAGAGATTATAACGCCCAAACCTGAAGTGTTGGCGTGGCTGAATGCTTTCAGAATGAGAGTTCACAGAGGACACAAAGTGACCGGGTGAGACACTAGTGGTGTACTAGTTAGTATCAAAAGTACTGCTATCGAAAGGTACTAGTTCCTTTTCAATTTCCAACTTTGATCTTTATGTTTATACAAATGTGTATTAAATCATGATGCAGGTCTCAGATCAAATAATTAAAGAGGTGAATACTTGAAGGAGCAAACCTATGAGCAACTTAAACTACAGTACAGACAGAGGGAAAGGTGGCCAGGACCACTCAGAAGCAGTCCAAGGGATAGATCAATCCTGCTAGCTAGAAAATATGTACAACATTACACCACATATGGTACTTTAAAAGTGAGACATTAGCTATAAATCAAAGTTCCTAAATTGGGGAATGGCTAAATTATAGGCCATAGACACAAATGAATAACATGAAACTACATTTCAAAAAATACTGAACAATAGCAATGCTCATAATAGGCTTTCTTCTAAATAATGAATGTGTAAGTATAGCCTGCAAGACCAGCAAGGTGGCCCAGCAGGTGGGTGTGCTTGTGCGTGGGCCTTCCAAGCTGACTTTGACCCCTGAACCCTACAGGGTGAATAACCCTAGAGATTCATACTTTGACCTCAACACACACACACACACACACACACACACACACACACACACACACACACCATGGCACACACTTGTCCCTTCACAAACACACAAATAAATAAATACTTTAAAATGTAAGTAAATGTAACATGCAATCTCCAGTGTATAACAAAAAACACAGAAACAAAGTTATTAGAAGGAAATATGCCAAAATGAAGTTGTTACATAGGCAGCAGATCCACTGGTAAGTATAAGTGCCTTCTTTATGCTAGAATTTGGTACAGATTCCATAATTTGGAAAAAATTCAGTTATCAGTCATCTCCTGTTTTATTACTGAAATTTTTAATGGTATCCCCATATCTCTTTTTTTAATTAAACATGATAAATTTTAAGTAATTCCTATACAAGACAGCAAGGGAGTAGGGAAATAATATTTCAGAGTAGTCATGACCATTCAATTGAATTCTCCAGTCTCTGATATGACCTCTCCACTCCTGTAAGAGATATAGCCCAAACCAAGTCCCAAAGCATAGTTCCTACCCACGAAAAAGGTCCTAGTGAGCTTAGAGAGCACAGAATAGGCCCTGGAAGCTTAGATATTGTTAAGTTATATGATGTGGTGGTGAATATGGGCCATAGTATTCACAGAACTTAAAAATAGCCCTCTTCTGAGAGATGAAGTAGTATAAATCAATACATGGTTGATGAGATTATTCCTTGGAAGAGGCAATGCATCCTAAGAAATTATCTGTCAGTTATGGGGACTGGAGGGAAATATCAAATGTTATCAGGATGACCTACATTTGTTTTGTTGTAATCCTAATGGATAAAATATAACTTTTTAAAAAGAAGGGATAAATAATCATATACAGTGGGTCTCAATCATTAGCATCTCTCATAATAACCTGTTGGGTGTTTTTAATCATAAACTGCTGGTTTCCACACTCTAGGATTTCCAAGTGAGGCAGATGCTGCTGATCCATGGACCACACATAGAGAACTGATGGTCTATTGCTTCATAATCTCCCTATAGGAAAAGGGTAAATCAGAAACAGTCTGTGTCCTATCTTGAGGGATAGAGGACAGGAGGAAACATGTATCTGTGTATTTATGTATTTGCAACGTTGTCATGGGCACCATGTTAGGGTCCTACCTCCTCTCCAGTGAGATTTCTGATGACCTAACAGGAAGGAAGCAGGCTCCCTTTGGGTCCAGCCACATTTACATGGGTGTTTTGTTAAATGTGAGTATGGGCAGATACAAAATCCAATCCAGGGCAGAGGCCCCTCTCCCTTCTTTAGGAAACAGAAATTGGAATTCCATCAGTCTCCCCAAGAGTCAGGAAATAAACATGTGAATTTGAAAATGATAGATAGCCATTTCTGTGGCATGCTAGAACCAGACTGGTTGATACTAACCCACAAGACATTGTTAAGGAATTTTGTGAATCAGTTGTTAAGCATAGCTATTATTAAAAATTAAATAAGTCTATCTACAATTAAGTATTATAAGTGAAGGTAACAAGTACACAGAACCTATTATCTACTCATGACTTACTATCTGTGCTCTTGGGTTTACGACATCTGTATCTTTGAGGTGGGGAATCTCTTACCAACTCCTTGCTTGATGATGTCATGTTAGTAGTTTCAAATCAACCATAGGCCAGAGTAGTCTGTGTTCTCCAGAAGAACAGAAGCACCAGGATACATACAGAGAGCATCAATTTTCTTCTAATTACAAGGAGGCTGTATCCTGATAAATATACTGTGTTAGTTCTCCTTCTTGTTCCTGCAGGCAATGACCTGACAAGAAGCGGTTTCTGGAAGAACAATTTTATTTTGGCTTACAGTTTGAGGCGTCACACAGCTCACCGTGTACAGAAAGCATGGCAGCGAAACCACAGAACAGCTGGCCACATGGCATCTGCAGTTAGAAAGTGAAACGAGATGAGCACCAGTGCCCAGCTCATTTCCTCCGTGGGTTGGCACTGCCCACAGCCAGGCTATATCTTACCTTTTCACTTAACCCTTTGTGGAAACAATCTGATGGATACACCCAGAGATGTGTTTCCATGGTGATAATAAATTCAGTAAAGATGATAGTGAAAAGTATGCATCACAGTCATCAAGAATATCATAATTTGAAAATAAATTTTTGATGCCTACCCTCACAAATACCTGCTTAGCAGCATGCATACAGTAAGCACACTGTGGAAAACTGGTTGCCATCCAGAATCTCAAGATAGTATCTTACCAGGTATCACTAACCTGGGGAGAAGGTCAAAATCCCAAGGACGATTTCTATTACATGTGTATTGCTTTTGCATAGTTGTCAAAAATGTTTAAGTCTAACCATTGCTACTATAAGAGAGACTCATATAGGAATTGGTTTACATGGTTATGGCAACCTGAAAGTTTCCCTTCCTTCTGCAAGCTGGAGAACTAGGAAAGCTAGTACTGATTCAGTCTGAAGTTTTGAGAATTTGGGCAGGGCAATAGCACGGTAGGCTGGTTAAGCCTCGAAGGCCAAGGACTGGAGAGCCAGGAACTCTTGATGCTCGTTAAGAGCCCACAGACATATCTACAAATAATGTTTTAGAGGCTGTTTGGGCATCTCATAGATTGGGCAAGTTGACATATAACACTAACCACAGTGGGAGTACATATGCCACAGAAATTGGGAAATATTACAGGTCAATGCTTAATCTAACATTTTGTTGCTGATTTATGTCTCAAACAATAAGGTGGAGAATGATAGAGAGAAATATCCGACATTGACCTCTAGGCTCCACACACAAGATTCCCCCTCATACCCATATATACAAAAATATGGATATAATATTAATAATACAGGTTGGGATTTCTCAAACTTGGCAACTCTTCATCATGGGAGGCAAGTCTCAAGCCCTTGCTCAGTAAATGGATCAGTAGCATGCCATTCTCTAGTTATGACCAACAAACATGTCCTGGTCACTGCTAAGCATTGCCTGAGGAGCTAATTTCATCTCTCTGCA